ATCATACCTTACAATTTTAGTGAAATGCGCATAACAACTGATATAAATAAATTTTACGTAATTTACAAACTGAAACAAAAAGAAGTGGAAAATTTTTTTTAAGTTATTTTTTTTTAAAGTTATTTATCATTGATAAAAATCACTTATAATTTTAATTCACAATGACTTATCGAATCAAATGATTCAATTGATTGCGATGATAAATTAACATTTGTAAAAGAATTCGCATAATTTTGTTACAGTTCAATGATATTTCTTTTAATACTGTCTATTTCTTTTATCATAATTTTTTTCCTTCTTTTTTTTTCTAGCAGTACAAAATAAAAGATTGTAACGGATGATAATCATAATTTCTTATTTATCAATGAAATTGAATTTCGGAAGAAATAATAAAGATCTTTTGCGAATGAGAGAAATAAATTATAACAATAGGAGAGATATTTTTTCATTTTGTTCATTCAAAAGCATTATTCAATGTTTTTTACTGCAATAGAATAACCTTTGGGATTTTTTCGAGAGTGAAGAAAATTAAGTTTGCAAATGAATGCAAAATAAAAAATGACTAGAAAATAATTAAATAATTCGAGACATAACGTTCCACTGATGTTAAAACCAGAAGTTATTGATTATCTTTTTCATTCCTTTGTTTTATATGCATCGTTATAATACAATTATTATGTATAATGATTAGATGATTAATCGTGGTTAATTGAGTTGAGATATCAGTACTGTGAATGATTTGTAATCATCGAATTTAATTACTAAAATGTGACAATGTATGTATATGTTATAGAATGGCTAAAAGAAACGATTACAGTTATCATCTTAATTCAATCATTGGTTGGCATGAAGAAAAAAAAAATGAAATTCAACCATATCATTTCTAAATTTCTCTCAAAATTTATAATTATTTTTTTATTTTTTCGTGGATTAAAAAAAAAGTCATTATCCATTCATTATATATCAAATTAACATTTCAATATTTTTCGTAATTTTACAATTGGACTTTTTTATTTTTGGCATTTAAATGACAATTTGTAAAAATAAACTATTAATTTAATGAAAATTATCATTTTATTTATTATTTGCATCGATGAAAAACTTCCTTTGTATCTCTCGTGTATAAGAATTTTTCGGAATAAAATTCATAAATGCATGGATGTGTGTGTATGTGTGTGTGTGTGTGTGTGTGTGTGT